TCCGTTTGTTTGGAAGCGATTCCGAACGATGCTAAGTTATGTTTGGGTGGTTAAATATCGGTGCTTCGCGTATCCCCACCAGCCCATCCAAAAATGATAACCAGGCGAGCTGCGCTGACCAGGGGCGCGCAGCAGAATGCAATCACGCCCTGGGATCCTCCTGGAAGCATCTCGGCTATGAGGCCCTCTCGGGGCCTGTGTGGAAGCATATCGGGCCCTCTCGGGGCCATCTTGAACTTTCACTGTGGGTCCCTTTCGGTGGCCTTGAAGGGGTCCCTGTGGGTGACACTGGAGGCTATCAAGCAAAGAGGGGGGTGGACCAAACACGCCCCACTCTCGGAGGCAAAAGATGGCCTCTCAGGGCACTGCTGGGGCGTTCGTGGGGCGCTCTCGGGCGCTCTCAGGGCCGCCTTGGGCCCCTTTTGGGGGCGCCTGGGACATCCTAGAACGATCTTGAAGCCTCGAGAGCCAGTCGGAAGCTAAAACTCGACAATATAATAAAGATAAAGATATGTCTGAAGATGCTGAATGAATGTGGCCTTTTCCGGGGGTTCCTTGGGAGACTCGGTGGCCACGTGGAACCGTGTTGGACGGTATCGGCGCTATTTTGAAATACGGTGGAAGCTAGATTGAACCATCTTGGGCTATGATGTACGATATTGGAGTCCATGTTGGGTTAGCTGGAGCCTTCTTGGGCCAGTCTTGGGACCACGTTGGAGCCTGGAACGACCCGCGGAAAGACCCCTCCAGACTTAGGACGAGGGGTTACGCGAAGAGGTAAAACTCCCCCCGAAGCGAAGAAATAGGTTCGAGTGACCAAATCTCTAAACCACGTACGCCCAAAGGGCTGGCGGGACCGGGTCGCCATCGCGAGCAAAAGCCTTGCTCCATATTTCCTCGTCAGCCTCCTTTCCCTTCCGCACCTCTTCCTTTGGCGCCGAAGCCACGACGCCGCCAAACCAGCCCCTCGCGCCGGGGCGTGGCAAGCGCCGCGCGCGCCTGCGGCATCGAACGCAGGATGCCGCCTCGCGCGCCCTCGTCCTGTTGTTTCTTTCCTACTCTTCCACCCCAATTGTCGTCCCCGTCTTTCTCCTGAGGTCGGGCAGCCAGAGTGGGCCGACAGGTCGGCTTCTCTGCCCAGACCCCGTCTCGCGCCGTCGGCCCGCCGGGGGCGCTGGGCGGGCGGCGTTTGCTCGGCAGCGTTCCTGAGCCTGCTTGCCCTGGGGAACGTCCGCCCGTGGGCACTGGGGCCGCTGCGGCGTGGAGATACGATTCCTTCGGCTGGCGAGAACCTCTACGACAATTTGTGGAAATTGGTGTGGAAAGTGTGGTGAGAAACGGGTGGAACAAGTCGGCTCCCGGGGCCCTCTCTGCGTCAATTTAAAGTTTTCCCATTTTGTCCACCGACTGCGGTTGCCATGTTTCAACCCACGGCGGGCGCAATTTTTCAAGTCACGATGGCCCCATGTTTTCACCCGACCGCGGGGGCCCCAAGGGCGGATCCTCCTGAGTTCAGACACGCAGGCGGCAAGGGATTTGGACGCCTGTCTCTGATCACCAGGACAGTCCCTGGATATGCGCCACGCGCGCACAAAGTGCCTTGGCAAGGCTCAGGGTCTGGGCTCATGCGATCCGACCAGTCGGAGCGCCACTCTGGCTTCCCGACCCCAGGAGCAAGAATGGGGGGAGGACACTGGGGGTGGAAGAACAGGGAGAAAAAAGCAGGGACGAGGGCCTGCGAGGCGGAACCCTGCGTCCGATACCGCAGGCGCAGGCGACAACTTCAAGGCTCCGACGCCAAAAGAGGAGGGGAGGAAAGGGAAGGAGACAGACGAGGAAATAAAATATGAAATCGTTACGCGCAATGACAACCGATCCCCGCCAGCCTTTCGGGCGTCGGCGGTTCGGCAAGTTGGTGACAGAGCGTTCCGCGGGTCGCTGGAGGGTCCAATGATGGTCCCCAGACGGCCACAAGAGGGCCCCGGCTAGTCCAAAATGGCCTCCAAGATCGCACAGCATTGCCCAAGATTGGTCAAGATAGCTTCCAACATGCCTCCAACGAGCCCCAAGACCCCCCAACACAGATCCAAGTGGCCACGGGGCCTCCCAAGCACACCCCGGAAAGGCCAGAGTCGCTCAGAAACCAAACAAAATCAGGGCGTTGCTGTCTTCTCGCATTTTCTCTTCCGATAGGCCCTCGAGGCTTCAAGATGGCTCCAAGGTTGCCCAAGCGAGCCCCGAACGGTGCCCGAGAGGGGCCCAAGATGGCCCCCGAAGCGCCCAACAGCGCTCCAACAGGGCCCCAAGAGGTATGTGTTCGGCCTCCGAGGGGAGGGGGGCGCATTGGAGCACCCTCCTTCTTTGATTGATTACCTCCGAGATGGCCCCGAGTAGTCTCTCAAGGCCCCTAAGAGAGCCCGAGAGGGCCCTGAGAGGGCACTAAGACCCCAAAAGGTATCCAAAATAGCCCCAAACGCCCCGATGACGGCCCCGCGAAAGCCCCGAGATGCCTCCCAGAGGCTCCCAGAGCGTGACTGTACGCTGGTACGCATCATCCCTTGTCAGTGCAACTCGCCTGGTGCTTGATTTTGGATGGGCGGGTGAAAATACGAGGAACGTCGCGAACAAGCCAAATGGCTCGTGTAGAGAAGCCCATTGACCCCAACACTCACGAGACGCTGCGGCGCACTCCCACGAGAAGGCATCCGAAACGGACGGCTTCGAACAAGGGAGCCCACCCGACTGCCTAAACCGAAACAACATGCGTAAAACAAAACAAGACGGCAGAATTCAACAAGTGTTCAATCTGCTAGCTCCCCTGGCGGACCGATGTGCAAAAAGCACCCCGTGGCGTGCCCAAACGGGGCCCACGTCGTAGATTGAACAACGAAGCATGGCGCAGCACATCTGGCACGACGGAGGCCAACACGTACTGAATCAACACGCAGCGTGCTGAACCTGGACGCCTGAAGAGCTTGCTATGTTTCGCGATAACCCCCGTGACCAGCCCTGCGCTCCATCCCCCCTCCCCCCTCCGAGTCACGTCGCGCTTCGCGCCGGCGCCGTGTGGGAAGCAGCCTGACTTCAGCATTCCCAGCCGGCGCCGGCCCGAATCGTGACGCGACCGGCCCCCTCACCTTCTGCTGCCCCCATCGAACTTGAGGACCAGATCCCAAACTTTCAATCAGAGCACCCAGAGAAGTATCGAAACAGTGTCGAACGAGTATCGCCGCCCAAAGCCCGACACGTGAAAACTCTCAAGTTGCGGCACGTTCTTGGTACTGGAGATTCTTTCTGGTGGTTCAAGCTCAGAAGTAAGTTGGAACATCATAACCCCCTCCCCTCCCCTCCCCCCAGTCGCGCCCGTCATCGCCAGGGAATCCAGGATGCTGGGCCTCTAACCGCGGGCGCACCATGGCTGCTAACCACCGTCTGCGGACCCAACGCCCAAGGGGAGGAGTACCGAATGGGCCCCCGCCCGACGCCCCGCATCGCAAGGTGGGCGGAGGACCGCGCAGGGGGGGGGGGGCGCGAAATGTTGCGAAATAAACGCCCATCCTTGCGAGGGGCCCACCGTTCCCCCATCAACATTGAAACGCGGGGGCGAGGGGCGCGTTTCGATAGCTTGTTACCTAGACCCGGCATGGACGTTCTTCTAAAGTCTTATATGGGCCTTCCGCAAGGCATCGTGAACGCCCATGGTTGGCTCCTGCGCCTGAGCTCTTCGTGACTGCGGAGAGGCCCGCGGAAGTAGCCTGGAGCCCATCATAAAGGTCTTCGCGAACCTTCCCGCGGTCAGGCTGAACGCGGCCAGCTGGACTCGGCAAGGCTGCGCTCGGCCGGCTGACCTCGGCTGGGCTGAACTTGGCCACGCAGGATTCGGCCCGGGCCGAGCTCAGCCCAGCCGAGTTCAGCTGGCCGAGCTCAGCCTGGCCGAGTTTCACCCGGCCGAGTGTTTCCCTTGTCGGTTGTAAGTTCTAGGGGGGCCTGCATCTCTGCCGCACACAGAGGCCCTGGCAGTCTAGCGAGGCAGCTGGAAGGCAGACCTCTGCTCCATTTCGGCGGCGCGCGTGCTTCGGCAAGCAGCAAACCGCGAGGCCAACAGCTGCTCGCGCAGCGCCTCCCCCCCTCGCGGTGCGCTGCCCTCCTCGCCTGTCGGACCACTGCTCCGCTGCTGCGGCGAGGCCCTCTGGCCGGCAACCCGACACGAGATGCGCGCCTGGGGGATGCCCAAAGGTACCGACACCGCCAGTCCACGGCCCTCTCCCAGGGCGCGCTCTGACCAAAACTTCGAGGCGAATCCAGCGGCTGCGACGGGGTGCCTCTCAGAAGGCCAAAAGAAGGAAAACGAGGCAAGGGCAGCGGTATGGGTATACCCTTGCCTCCTCTGAGTCCCAGACTCCCGAGGCCCACAACTTGTCAGAGGAAGCCCGTCGGAGGCCTCTTGGACTCCTGGGTCTCGGGGCCATCTTTCGGGGGCGCGCAAGCACGGATTGGCGATCCATGGATCTGGTGCGCGGTCGCCACATCCATGGACGGCACCCTCCCCAAGATGCGGCCGGTGCCGCCTCGCTCGGCGGCGGAAATCCGCAATTCCCCGTGGAAGCGGGACCCGTCGCCAATCCACGCCCCCTTTGATCCACGTCTGCGATCGTCTGAGTCTTGGCTGGCAGCCGCCCCGGGCGCACATCCCCCGAGGCCAAGCGCCGCCCGCCTCGCGCTGGGGCGGCAGCGTCCCCCCGCCCCCCCCCCCGCGCCCCCGTGTCCTGCTCGGCGAGCGGCGGGCAGGCCGCGGCGGCCAGCCGCCTGCGGCGCCGCGCGCGCGCGAGGCCCAACCTGCTCCTCCTCCTGCTGCTCCTCCTCCTCCTCCTCCTCCTCCTCCTGCTCCCCCTCCTCCTCCTCCTCCTCCTCCTCCTCCTCCTCCTCCTCCTCCTCCTCCTCCTTCCTCCTCCTCGTCCCCCTCCTCCTCCTCCTCCTCCTCCTCCTCCTCCTCGTCATCCTCCTCCTCCTCCTCCTCCCCCTCCTGCTCCGAGCCGCTCACGGATCGAGGGGGGAGACGACGGCGAGCAAAAGGCAGGAGAGCATCACGAGGGGAAACAATCCGCCAAAAGAGCACTCGGTTTGATGTTCCGCGGCGCCGGCGCAGGCCGTTCCCGGGCCCCAGCCGCCCCCCCCCAGGTAACGTCACGATGCGTGCTGGCCTCCGAACGGTCGCTGGATCTTCCTAGACATTCTGACGGACGGCGCCGTCGCGAAACGTGACGTTACCCGCCCCCCCTCCCCCTCCCCCCAGTAACGCCCGTCATCGCCAAGGAATAAGCACATGCTCTCCATCGTGTCTGCAAGGCTCGAGTTGCAGTGTCCTCAGGCCCCTTGCTCAATCCCCTGGGACTCAGCCCCCAATCTTGAAGATCTCTACAGCGGCCCAAGCCCCGGTGGGCCGAAGGCCACTGGATATATGCGGACGTTGACCCCAAAGGGTGAGCTAGGGCACTGGATGTGTAAGCTGTGTGGTGCGAGCTATATGGTATAAACAGTGCATGAGCTACGCGGTGCAGGCCATGAGGCGCACGCTAGTAAGCGCAGGCTGCGTGGTTCCAGCTTTGCTCTGCAACCGGTGTGGTGCGATGAATGCGAGGGGAACTGCATTAGGGAAACACAAAGTCACATCGCCACGTTGTCGCCCGTTGCCGCCTCGTTGCAGCCTCGTTGCCACCGCGTGCGCTGGCGTGGTGGGGTGGGTCTTGCTAGGTTGCGCCACATTGCCGCCCCCTACCGCCTCGTTGCCGCCTCGTGCGCTGGGGTGGGTCTGCAGGGTTTCGCCACGTTGCCGCCCGTTGCCATCGTGCGCTGGGTGGGTCCTGCGAGGTTTCACCACGTTGCCGCACCCTACCGCCTCGCTGCCGCCTCGTTACCGCCTCGTGCAGTGGGTGGCGTTGCCGCCTCGTTGCAGCCGCGGTGCCGCCTCGTGCGCTTGTTGGGTCTGGGTGCGATTCACAAAATGGGGTCCCCCCTCCCAAGGGGGGGGGGGGCCATTTTGTGAATTGGACCCCCTGCCACAAGTTCCTGGGGGAAGCTGGCCCACAGGGCGTCCTGGGACCACTCCTGCGGCCGGCGCGCCTCCCGGAGGCCGTCTGCCCCGGACCCGGAAGATACGAACTTCAAGAGTTTCGTATCTGGGACGCCCCCCTGAAGGCTCCCGGCGAGGGGCAACTCCGAACCGTAGGCGGTTCCCCAGTTGTCCGTTTCCCGGTTGTGGGCCTTCTTAAATTGGACCGACTGTTGTCCCAACACCCAGTGCCCAAATCGATCCTTCAACGGCCAGACTGGGAACTGTCGTGCCTCCAGTCCGGAGTGTTAAAACAAGACAGCCCTGGCCAGAAATGTTATAAGACCATTTCGTGCCAACCACAAGAGGTTCTTAGTACACTCTTTGGTGGGCCTACAGGCAAGCCAAGACGCCTCGCCACCGCTGGAGAGAGGGGAACAAAAAACGGGAGGAGGGGGGCGAGGTTCACCTGCAGTGCTGAGGCCAGCGGCTGGGAGAGCGACGCGCAGCAGGCCGTGGTGCAGCGGCAGCACATGGGCCGTGGCCTGGAGCCGCCAGGGCGCGCGCGCGCGCCGCCTGCTATCCCCGGTGCGGCTCGCGCGTGGGAGTGTGCGCAGGGGGCGCGCCCCCTTCAGGACGCAAGCGGCACGAAACGGAACGATGCAGCCTCCCCCCCCCTTCGCATACTCTGGGTTTCTTGATAACGTGGGGGCCCCCCCCCCCGACGAGGGTCAACCTCGCCTCGCCGTCGCGCCGCGACGGGGGTCGGAGCGCCTTCGGCGCGCGGTGGCTGCCCGCGACAGGGGTCGATGTGGGGCTGTCGGCGGGGGCGACGCCCCCCCGACGCTTATTGAGAAACTCGGAGTACCCTGTCCCCGTACCCAGACCCCCGACGTTTGGATTTTGTCATAAGGTCGACCTCCAGAGGTCACAGCTCCATTCCCCCGAGCCACCTCTTGACGGCCCTCGGGCCCGGCGAGGGCCCGCAGAGGCTGAAAACGGCGAAAACCCCACATCGTGATTTCTGCCACGACGCGAGAGGGTCTGGGTAGTATTGCGGTCAGGAACTTGTGCTCAACGTGTCGCGGCGTCGCGCCCGGCGACACGTTCTGCCCTGCAAGCGGGTAGCGTGTCGTTCCGCTCCGCGGAGCGGGAGGCCGGGAAAGACTAGAGACGCGGGCGCTTCGGGACTGGAACGTGGGTAGCGTGTCGCGCCGACGAGTGTTAGGCCAGAATCGGCGGCCCGACACGCGATCCCGGACCAGAACACATACGGCACCCCCCCTACGGCCCCACGGGGCCTGGCGTACACCAGGAACTCTGGTGCGGGCTCTTGCGTGGTATACGCTACGGCCCCCGATGGGCCGCAGCGCAACATGGAGGGGGGTGTTGTCGAGGGTGCCCCTGGCTTGTGTTAAGTCGGAGGAGGTGGAGGAGGAAGAGGAGGAGGAGGAGGAGGAGGAGGAGAAGGAGGAGGAGGAAGAGTGGGAGGAGGAGGAGGAGGAGGAGGAGGAGGAGGAGGAGCAAGGAGGAAGAGGAGGAGGAAGAGTGGGAGGAGGAGGGCGCCGCCTCGCGGCCTCGCCCTGCATCTCCCGCGCGGCCGCCAGCGCCTCCGGGGGCAGCTCCGCGAGCGCCCGCGGGTGCAGCAGCCCGAGCCTCCCGCGGCGCGCCAAGGGAGAGGGGGGGAGGAGGGCGGCGCCGAGGGGCGGTGCACCGGAGCAGCGGCGACGACGTCCTCGGTTTTCGGGGGGCGCGTCTAGAGAACGACACCCGTCCCGGGGGCAAGAGGAATCCACGCCCGTTGCGGGAGACTGGTGTTCCCCCCATGTCGTAAGATGGGGTTATCGTTATTCTATACTGGGACGCCTCCACCTCACCCACCAGCCAGTTCTTCACACATCCCAAGATAAGTCGTTAACCAGACTCAGACCTACTCACACCCAGACTCGCTCACAGTCAGTCTCACTCATACTCAGGCCTAGACATACACAGCCGCACTGCCACTCAGACTTACTCACACTCAGACTCACTGACACTACGACGCGCTCACTCACACACACGCACTCTTGTTGGGCGCAGAAGAACCTCAAGCGCGGTCGGCAGGTGGAGGTGACAACCGCGAAATAACTTAGTCGAACGCGACAGTCACGACCATGCACATTGGTGGTGGGAAAAAGGAAGCGCTGCAAAGCCAAAGTGCAACGACCAAAAAACCGAGGAACGCAAGCTCGACGCGGGAAGCTTGAAGCGCAAACATCAGTCTGGTGTAAATTATGCCTCACGGAAGCGACGAACAATTACTGCAAGGCTGAACGACCAGCCAACTTGGTGGCGTAAAGCCAAAAGCTTGAGCAAGTGCATGCAACAAGTAAAAGCTGAACTTGTGTATGCACCCTCACACACACAGACAGATCACTCACACGCAGACCCACTCTCCATCAGACTGCCTGGTGCTCGGAGTCGCAAACTGTGGGGACGTCCCAGCCGAGCTTGAGCCGCCAGGGCTGCTCGCACGGCGCCGTTCGCCCCCAGATTGTGGGGATGTCTCGGGCGGGCTGCCGGCTTGGGCCCCCGGGCTCCTCTGCTCTCAGGTCAGGCTGTGAGGATGTCTCCGGCGACGCGCTGGCTCCCGTATACCCCAGGAGGAGCTGCCAAGGCTGTCTGCGAGGCCCCGTTCGCGCCCAGACTGTGGCCATGCCCGACGCGGCTTGCCTGCTCTGGCCGCCGGACTCCCACGCGTCTGGAGCAGACCGCGAGGATGTCTCAAGGGACGCGGCGGCTTCCGCACCACAAGGGGGAACCGCCAGGATTGTTTGCACGGCCCCTGTCTCGGCTACACGCAAGAGTGACCCTGGGTAAGAGTGACCTTTGGTGCGTGACTTTTTGGGGGCCACGGGGGGACCAAACCTGAGCGCACAAGCAGCTGCTACTGCTTCGTTTTCAGCCATCTGGGGACCCATCTGTGCCCGCACCAAAGGTCACTCCGGCGAAAGGTCACTCTTACGACTAGTCAACTGTCGCGCCCAGCTTGTGGGGTTGTCTCAAGCGGTTTGCCTGCTTTGGCCCCCCAAACCCCCCCCTGCTGTCACAGCAGGTTGCGAAAATGTCTCAAGCGACGCGCTGGCTTCAGCACCCAAAGGAGGTGCCCCAGGGAACTCCAGGAGCTCGGAGAAAGCGCCAGGACGTCCCGGGATGCTCCAGGGAGCCCTGGGAAGCTCAAGGGAGCACCAGGGAGCTCCCAGCAATTCCCAGGAGCTCCCAGGAGCTCCCAGGCAGCTCCAGTGAGCCCTCAGGAACTCCACGAAGCTCAAGGACGCCCCAGAAAGCTGATGGGAGCTCCAGGGGGAGCCAAGAAGCTCCGGAAGTTCCAAGGAAGCTCTGGGACGCCCCAAGAAGCTCCAGGGAGCTCCAAAAGCTCAAGAAAACTCCAGGAAACTCGAGGAAACTCCAGAAACCTCCAGGAAACCCAAGCGAACTCCCAGAAGCTCCCAGGAAGCTTCACGCCCTTCCAGCAAGTAGCGCCCAGCAGCTTCCAGGCTTGCTTGCGTGGTTGCATGTTGCGAGGATATATCAGGTGACGCGCTGGTTCCAGCACGCCCTCAAAAAGGGAGCATTCAGAGGGTATCTCACGCGCCCGTTCGCACCCAGATTGTGGGGTTGTCTCGGGTGGTTTGTCTGGTCGGCGCCCTAAATTTGTCTGCTTTCAACGCAACATGTGAAGATGTTTCCGGCGATGCGTTGGTTTCAACACCCCATATGGAAACCGCCGCGGGTGTTTGCACTGAGGAGTGTGGAGGATGACGAAGGGGGAGGGGGAGGAAGAGGAGGAAGAGGAGGAGGAGGAAAAGAAAAAGGAGGACGACAACGACGACGACGACGACGACGACGACGACGACAACGACGACGACATTGACAGGATTGGGAGGAGGAGGATGAGACCAAAGTAGACCCATGATGCATCAACCGATGCTGCAATACACCCTCCCGTCCCACGTCCCGTATCCATAAATCCATATAACCATTCCTTTCCACTGCGGGCGCCCCCTTTTGAATGACGAGCGGCCAGTCGGCCCGCCAGTCAGACGAGGGCGGCTCTTGTCAAAGACAACCTTCCACTTGAAGGACGCCCAAGGTAACCCCATGTTGACAAGCACACGCCCTCCATCCGCCGAAGCGTCGCAGGATGTCAAAGTCGTGAACGTATGCCCCGCGACAATGCCAAGCGAGAGCCTTTCAAGGAGGACCACGGACACTCGCAGGTTGAAAAGGGCATGCCCTCTATCCGTCTGAGCGTTGCAGGATGTCAGAATGTCAAAGTCGTGGACACACGCCTCGCAGAAATCTCACGCGACGAATCCCGCTTCGATAAGGGAGCCGCCTTCCATCCGTGTTAACGGTTGTACAGTGTTGGACGCCAGGTCGTAGAGTTCGAGGAAGGGTCAAGCGAGTGACGGTGAACTGTGTATTCGAATATGCGCGGAACCAAAAGGAGATCCCAGTACGTCTCGGAAGGGCTTGCCATCCACTCGCGCAGAAATTCTAGCACCCAGAAAGCATGGTGCCAAGGCTATAGTTCTTTTTGAAAACGATCCGCCCTCTATCTGTCCGTTGGTTGCGAAGAGCGATGGTTTGCGGCGCCAGCAAAGCGAGAGCCCCATCGTGAAGTCAACGAGGTGTGACTTCATCAGCTGCTTGAAGCCTCCTTCGGCGACGAAGATGATGAAAATGATAATGTGGATGCTGTTGCTGCTGATGGCGACAGCGAGCCCGGGAGCGTTTGGGGAGGGATTGTGACGTCTGAGAGCGCCTGGGAGCGTCTTGGAGCGTCTGGGAGCGCTTGGGGAGCGCTGGGGCTCAAAATTGGAGTCGGCAAGGGGTGCCCCAAACGTATAGATTTATCCTTTGCGCGATAGATGTATTATTTTGTTTGGCCTGTTGTGCCCAGAGGGCTCTTCGGGGCCAAGGGGTGTCGACGTCAATGATCCGCAGTTGCGGACCACATTGGATGGCGCGAGTGGGGTGGAACGGACGCGAACCGAATAAAATCTGTTCCACAAGAATGATAAAAGCTGGGTCGTGTGGATGTACACCGGATGATAGCAGATTCATGTATGTATATGTATACAGAATTGCATGGGATGGAGGGGGCTGGTCGGGTGGATGTGTACCGAATACTTGTTGGGAATCGAATGGCAAAGGTTGTATCGTATGGATGTGCACCGAAAAGTGAATGTCTACATCGGATGGTGAAGGTTGGTTCGTTTGGATGTTATCAAAAACACACGTTGTGCCTAGGAGTATGAAGATGGTGGGCCGGATGGACGTGTCCTTGACACTACTTGAAACATAATACGGTGGAGGTTGGGTCGCCTCGATGTGCGAGGCACTAAACTCGAAGGCCGCATCTTTAAAGGGAGCTGGCTTCCATCCGTGGAACGGTTGCAGAATGATGTGTGCGGGCCCACAACAATAACCATATGTTGAAAACGAGCCGGCCTCCATCCTTGAAACTGTTGCAAGTGTACAAATGCGCCTGGCGCTAATGCGAGAGCCACATTTTGAAAATGACCCGGGCTCCATCCTTGAAACTGTCGCAAAATGTTTATACTAAGGCGCGAGCCACATGTTGAAAACCACCCAGGCCCATCCTTGACTGTTGAAGAATTCTTTATATTTGTATATCTATACATCGCGAATATGCGCGGCGCTGAGGCGCGAGCCATATGTTGAAAACCACCCAGACCGCGTCCTTACAAGCGCTCCAAATACCAAACTGCAAGATCACACTTGGCACGGAAGTCTCAGGCGAAACGCCAGGACCGGCCTACGGACACGTCTGGTAATGCGAAAGGGAGGATTTATTTATTTATGAGGTAAAGGAATGGAGGAGTAGTAGGAGGAAGAGAAGGATCAAGCCGAGGAGGCGGAAGGACGGGGAAGAACGAGAACGAGTGACGAGGATGAGAGAGGATGAGGAGGAGGCGGAGCGGCGAGCAGGCCAATAGCCTGCAGTTGCCCGCGGCTGAAGTAAAGGGGTGCCCAGGGAAATCTTGGAGGTTGATACAGACCATATATATATATATGTATATAGGTGTGTGTGTATGTATGGATGGTCCTGTTGTTTGTTATGGGCACCCGTTCCCTTCCCCTCCTGCACAGTGGCCTGTCCACCATTGCGGAGCAAGCAGGAGTTGGGTCGGGCACGTCGCTCTATATATCTTTGGTCCTCGCTCTTTCCGCCTTAATCCTTCTTTCTGTGGCACCTTGAGCGCGTGCGGCATATTTCTCTCTCGTCGATACGTATATGTGCGGTCTGTTCGGTGACCTCGGCTTGCAGTGGTTTGTGAGTGAAGGAGGAGGAGGAGGAGGGAGGAGATAGGAGGAAGATGGCGAGGAAGGGGAGGAGGAAGGACGAGGGACGGGCAGATGGGAGAAGGAGGAGGCTTGGCAAAAGGTGCACGTCTACCACTCCTGGCCACAGAGCTGGCACTGCGTGTCTTGGCGCAGGCGGATACAAACAGACAGAAATTCGCAGCCAGTCCAACACAGCGATGCGTGCCAAGAAATGAGATGCACAACTGGGGATCTCCGCATCGAGTATTTGTGTATGTCCGGTAGCGGTCGTTACCCAAGGGGGATGGCGGGGTGGGTGGAGC